GGATGTGGATGTGTGCGCGTGGGTGTGGATGTGGATGTGGATTTAGGGAAGACCAACACCCACACCCATCCGCACCCTTTTTAAAAGTAATGTTTGATGTAGTTGTAAAGTACAACGAAACGTCATATTATTCCCTCGACTGCAGAAGAGAGGATCATACGAAAAAAACTAAAATGCGTTTGTGCGTTTGTTTGTCGGGGTCAAAGGTCACAGGTCAAAAAAACATCACATAGTCATTCTCAATCATAAAAGGACGGAGTCTTCACAATAGAAATTCGTATGTATCCCCGGTGTCTCGTTGGTTGAAAAATAGGCCAATCAGATTTTAGCAGGGCTTTTCTTCCTTATTATCAGGACAAGTGCTAGTCATGTTCGGGCCGATCCTAGGGTTATCGGGGACGCTCTATCGAATGAGGGGTATATGTGGGGGGGCTCCGCCTTACATATCACTGAGAAATTGTACCTCGCAATGTGATTGGTTGAAAAATAGACCAATCAGATTTTAGCAGGGCTTTTCTTTCTTATTATCAGGACAAGTGCTAGTCATGTTTGGGCCGATCCGAGGGTTATTGGGGACGCTCTATCGAATGAGGGGTATATGTAGGAGGCTCCGCCTTACATATCACGGAGAAATTGAACCTCGCAATCTGCAATGACATTTTTCTAGCTGAAATTCCGAGCAGTCAGGTGGTTTCGATATTGGACTTTCGATCAATCAGATTTTTTCCAGCTGAAATTGCACGCAATCAGGGTTTTTCGATATCGGGCGTACTGAACGAATCAGATTGCTTCAGACTGGGAGTTCAGCCAATCAAGGTTTTTTGGATATCGGGCATTCGACCAATCAGATTTTTCCAGGCTGAAGTTGCAGCCAATGAGAAGTTTTCGATATCGGACATCCAAGTAATCAGATTCTTTCAGGCTGGAAGTTCATCCAATCAGAGGTTTTCGGTGTTGGACTTCCGACCAATCAGATTCTTTTAAGCTGGAATTCCAACCAGTAAAATTTTTTAGGTGACTAGCTCTCGTGCAATAATGTTTTCTGGGACAAGAAGTTCATCCAATCAGATGTTTTCACTCTTCAGCTCTTGTTCAATGAGGTTTTTACCAAGGTGGGAGTTCAGCCAGTGAAATGTTTTTGCTATTCCGTTTTTATTCAATGAAGGTTTTTCAGTCGGGAAGTTCAATCAATCAGATGTAGTTGTTGTGGGGCTGTCCTGCAATCAAATGTTTCAAGACTGGGAGTTTCACAATAAAATATTATGTCTGTCTTGTTGTTACTAGTGTCTTTTACTCATAGTGTATCGTTGATTTGTTGATTGCTGGTTACTGTGCCTGTAAATGACATTATTCACAATATCGAAGTATATATTTTTTTTCCATCGAGTAGATTCGAACACTGGGCCGTGTTCATATTACATAATTTAGTGTATGTGATTACATGTTTTTCCGTGGATTAGATTCGAACACTGAACCATGACATATATAGATGTATTACTTCTTTTGTTTCTGTTTGTATAATTATAGCTACTGTACTATCTAGTCGAGTTGACTAAAGGCGTCATGAAGCATGGTCTCTAGTTCGATACTAGAGAAAAACAAATATTTGTTCTTCGGAATAAAGCAGCCTAGACCTGAATTGCATTCAAGTCGGCATTTAACCGGTCCGCGTAAAGTGAAGAGTGCTGTAGTTAAGCATCGTCCACCAGGACCACCCCCGTCCGCGTTACAGCCTGGTCTGAGGCGTAGTTAGCTACGGTTCGGGCTGTAACGCACCCGCCGACCTGGGCACGAGATCAGCCTAGGCTGCTTTGATGCGCAGTGCTATCCCGCGGAGTATGGGGAAGGCTTTTTGCAAAACTTTTCTTACCTCAAAAACAACTCAGTCCTTATCCTGACAGTGCAAAAAAACTAAAGAACCATTTATTCAACTAGTGACTGACAAATTGAGGTACCCTACCCGAATATCGTACGAAGCAAACTCGTTTCATAAGAAAACAACTCTGAACTTTTTATTTAACGTCTCCAGAAAAAGTTGATATACCCAGGTCCCACATTACACCCCACTATAAGACGTATGCTACTAAACATCATCCATCATTCCTGAAAAAAGAACACCAGCATTACTTGATGAATGAAGATCATGTAATACGTTTGTTAGCAAGATTACTTAAGGAAGGTTTCATTTCTAGTGGAGAATATAATGTGACTAAGCCAATAGGCTCAAGACTAGCACGTCTCTATGGTGTACCAAAATTACATAAGGCTAAAGAAAATTATCCATTACGTTCGGTTATGTCTCCAATCAAAGAAGTTGGATATGGTTTAGGAAAAATGCTCAGAAATCGATTATCACATCTTTAAACAAGTGCTTATGTTATTAAAGATTCATTTGATTTTTTAAATACAATTAAATCATCAAAAAGTGTGGATAAGATATTAGTTTCATTTGATGTAGTAAGTCTCTTTACCAATGTTCCACTTACCTATACAACTGATTTTGTTCTTGATCAAATGTATCCAACATGTAAAAAATCATGCCTGAAACTACCGACAGTAGAACAATGTTGTAAATGTAAGCAGAATGTTGACTTTAGAACTCTACTCTATGAAGCTACATCTAAAATACATTTTACCTTTAGTAACAAAATGTATATTCAACATAATGGTGTTGCAATGGGTGCTCCATTAGCTTCAGTGATTGCTGATATTTTTATGACTTACTTGGAAATAACATTGATGGATAAATTAACGCAATTAGGTGTATGTGAATGGTATCGTTATGTAGATGATACATTTGTATTCATTAATAAAGATGCAAATGTAGATAACTTATTATCCATTGTTAATGAATTTCATCCATCAATTAAATTTACAAGAAAGATTGAAGATAATGATAAATTGGAGTTCCTCAATGTACACGTTATTCGATCACCTGAACAACAATGCTCCGAGACAACAATTTATCGAAGGCCAACATTTACTGAATTACTAACAAATTGGAACTCTTATGTTCCCATTCAATATAAGAAAGTTGGTATTGTTAGTATGGTTAATCGTGCACTTAATATTTGTTCAACATATAAACATTTAGAAGATGAATTTAATGAAATAAGAAGAATTGGTCTACTCAATAATTATCCATTATCATTTATTGATACAATTATAGGTATTAAATTAAGTCAACATCGAAATAAAACATTTACTAAAATAGATACACCAATAATTGAAAATGATAAAAAGAAAATTTATGTTGAGATACCATTTATTCAATCATCAACAATAGGTCTTAAAAACAAAATTAAACATCTTACAAACAAATCAAGACCTGATCTCGACATCCAATTCTTCTTCAAACCACCATCATCGACACAAGCATTCTTTCAAAACAAAGATCCAATTGTTAAACACATGAAGTCGGATGTAGTATATTATGTTAAATGTAATGACTGTACACATTCGTATATTGGTAAGACTGAACGTCAATGTATACGAAGATTAAATGAACATGGTGCACCAAAAACAGCCTATCAACAACAATGCAACCATGTGAGTGATGATCTTAATCATAACAGCAACATCCAAGAATTAAGAAGATCATCACGAATAAGAAACAAAACAACAATAACAAATGACAATAACAGCGATAATATGATTGCCAAGTCATCAATTACTCAACATGAAAAAGAAACAGGTCATCATATGGACTGGAGTAATTTTCAGGTAATATGGCAAGACAATCATTATTATCGTTTGTTAGTTAAGGAATCATTACTGATCAAGGCTTATGAACCAGAACTCAACAAAACAACACATTCGGTACCATTACTGGTTTTTCCTGATGGTCTACCGAGAGTTCTGTTACCTAATCCTGATCTTTAATGAAACTTAAAGTCATTTGTTATTGTGTTATTGTATTATTGTTTCTCTTCTACTTTCTACCCTTCTTTCTCTTCTTCTTTTTCTTTTTCCTTTTTGTTCTCTTCTCGTCTTTTCTTTGCGCAATGTACAATTTTTCAAAGATCTCAATAAATCTTGAAAATGATGTCATAGATCATCGAAACGTCGAATTATTGTCTTTTTATTGTAAAATAAAAAAATTTCACTATGTTATACAAAGCCGCTGTTATCTTATCATTTATTATGAAGATATTGCCCTTAAAAATCACTAGAAAACATATTTTCCATCTTGAAATATTTTCCATCGAGATTTGACCTGTAGCGGAACACACAGAGTCAAATGTTAGCGGTGAATGACTGAGGGTGAGGATCAGGGTTGCCACCTTTTAGAATCCAAAAAGCAGAAAATCACTTTAAAAAAACAGAAAACGACAGAAAATTATGTGTCAAAAAGCAGAAAAAAAAGCAGAAGGCAGTTTTCCGATTCCAAATTATACTTAGAGGCTTATGGCGTTGTAATAGGAAAATTTCGAGATCAGTCATAAATTCTATTTTGTTAGAGTAGGTAAAAACCGTATGACAGATTAATAAAATAGTTGAAAATTTTTTTTTAAGTGAACATTTTTCGAATGAATTTGTAGCTTTCAGTGACTTTGATTCCATATTGATTGTGTTGATATATTTCCGTATACGCTAATCTCCATTTTCGACTACTTAAACGACCATCTATCAAATTCAGTTTGAAAAATATACTAAGACGACTATAACTATTATCGAAGGTACTTCCAATAACTAAATGTCAATTTCTCACTAAACATTGATATTACAGTTTGATTTGACATGAAGAAAATAACATTAGAGAAGCCGGGTTAACGCCAACATTGCATCAATAAATATTAATTTTAATGTCTCTGATCCTTATAAAACCATATGGATAATAAATAAACATTAGCATATTTGGACAGCAATCATGGTTCTCATTTTTTGAAAAAGGAGGTTAGCAAAATCTAAGAACGCAGGTGAAAAATCTAAGAACAAAAAATTGTGAAACACGAATTTCGCAGTACTAACTTTTGCAAATGACTTTCGGCAGTTGTTAACAATTGTAACCCTTTTAGACTTTCGCTCTCTGCAAGACTAAACTATGAGCAATTGCCAGAAGTTCAGTTTTACCCAGGATAAAAGTTCAATAAAACACAAATTTTGGCAAGTCCCAAAGTTCAGCTTGTTAAAAACGACATTCTAGTGTATTATATGATTTTCAGTAATTGCCAAAAACCAACTGCGAAAGTCAAAACTGCCAAATTCATGCTCTCCAAAAAAATTTTGAAAAAGCAGAAAGGACAGAAAAAAAGCAGAAAAACTTTCAAAAGCAGAATTTTTCTGCTAAAAGCAGAAGAGGTGGCAACCCTGATACGTTCCATTGCATCCTTGATAACGAATGGAATTTCCTATTAATGATTTTTGTGTATAAATTTGAATTTCAGTGCTTAATTGTCCCAGTATATAAACACTACCATCTTTTGCATATCCTATAATATTTTCACTAAAATCTTTTCTTTACGAGTATATTTTCGAAATAATAGCATGTTTACTATGATTTGATAATTGTATTTACATTTCCAATTCTTTATTATTTGTTAATCTTATTAATTCGATAGATTTTGTAAATTAATTGAATATATTTCAAACGCATCTAAATCTTCAATAATTGTTGATATAAATATAAATACAAATTTTTGTTCATGTTGGAACATTTATTCTGAAATATTAAATATAGTTTCACAATCATTGAATCTAATCTAAACAAATCATGCACTTTTGTCTTCTATGTATAATTCGTAAACAAGTTTACTGATAGACTTTTCATAATGTGCCTTTAATCGTCTCTTTCTTCATAGTTATTCTAGCTAAGTGTATTTCGTACTGTTTTCTAAAACAAAATTCTCAACGAGAGAATATTTGACAATGAATTGCTACGTATCCTGGTAGCGGCTAATAATATTGATCTTGCTAAATGGTAAATTTGTTTGAAAACTTTAACTGTATGATTTTATTGTGAAATGATATATACAAATATTCAGAACTTTTGACAAGATTACAAGAAAGAAAGAATTTTCATCATTTGATACTTTCAAGAATAATAGTTTCGACTTGATCAACAATGAATATGTCAAACAGATTTTAATATGATATTCCTGTTTATACCCTGCTTCTAAGGAGATCGAAAGTTTTTCAGTGAATTTTTGCTGTAGAGGACCTCACATTTGCAACAAGACCATGTTTTCGAATTTTCTACGCAAACTAGTCTAATGGAGATCTCTATGTTGGTAAAGTTTCAGACGAAAATTCGAAACTATGGTCTTGCAGTAAATGTGGATTCTACAATAAAAATTCACTAAAAACATTCCATCTTCTCAGAAACAGGCCATAAGCACGACCTCTTTTTATCATATGCGTAATTCAATAAGATCTACAATTTGCAATAAGTCCTGATTCAAAAGCCAGTTGATATCTAAGAATATTCTCTCGTTAGTTTAATCTAATAAGACTTTTTCTTTTATAGCTTCAGTTCATCTTGTGCAGATAGATAAGCACTTCGATGCATTTTAGTCATAAACGAATAAAAAAAACACAATTTAACTGCATTATATAATATGTGAAAGAGCATATAGGGTTTCCAAAAGTTGCATTGCTTCAATCCTCGAGAGTTTTTAACACATTCAAAGACCAAATCTGATGACTAAATCATTGAAACAAGAATAATCAATATTCTTTGAGAAATTTATATTAAAAAAAAAACGTGTAAAATATTTTTTAATCATTCATTTCAACTAATTCATTGGAATATCAAACATGATATTTATGACGTCCGTAAAATATTGATTCTAAGAAATATGTAAGGTTAATCCAATTTGAATCCAATCTTCTGACATTTCTATGTTCTTATATTTGAGTGATTTCATGACTGATGATATTCTAAATCATATATCACTGTTCTATTTATTTAACTTTTTGTGTCTATCATAATTGCGCATCAAACAATGAAGATGACGAGAGAACGGTTCGTTTTTTTACGCTATAGTAAATCAAACTAATACCTCTTTACTTTTATATACAGCGCAGTTTGAAATACGATAAAAGAGAATGGTTGTGAAATAGACCATAGAAACTGAAAAGAAAAAAAAACATACTTCTTACACACTTATGAAATTACTATATGAATCATTGTGCATTGCTTGCTACTATTCTGTTCTATCTATTCTTCATCATCCTATTTCTTTTCGCAGTAGTTCTGATCTGAAAAAAGAGGTTCTATGTCGTCAAAAATGAATTATTATTTTACAAAAGAAAATATAATAAAAATTAGATTGACTGTATTCAGAGACACCTAGTATAGTAATGTTTTTCATGTACGAGCAAACATCAATAATTTAAATATATACAATGTATTTTAATCATAATGTATAGTAATTGTTATTTTTTTTTTCGAACATTTTTAGAATTATGCAATCAGACAAGAAACGTAAAAATATTGATGATTCAACTGATATTCGTTTTAAATGATTAAAATTAGACAAATCAACAAATGAAATTCAATCTGTATCCAATGTATCAACAGTAGTTCATTTGCGTCGTTCAAAAGGAAAAATTGTACAAGATTGTGATATTTATATTGGTCGTGCTTGTAATTATGGGTGGTTGGCAATTGAATCAAAGTAAATGGCATAATCCATATTCTGTTAAACAATATGGACGAGATGATGCTTTAGATCGTTATAAATAATATATCGAATCAAATCAAAATAATCTCCTCAATGATCTACATAAATTAGCTGGAAAAAGATTAGGATGTTGGTGTAAACCTAATCGTCATGGAGATATTCTTTGTGAACTGTTCAAAAAACAAATTCAACAATCGATCAAAGCATCAAGTAGTTAAATCAAATATAAAAAAATGAAGAAGAAGATTCTCTTCTCATGATGTAAATAGATATTCTCAAAATAAATTTAAAATGAGATATGAATAAAATTTTTATTAAAATTATCTTTCAAAAGATATCTAATAGAATCTTTTCATGTGAGGATCAATCATAAAATGAAATTACATTCATTTGACAATTATATGTTTTTTTGAACGAGAATTTTTAGAATATATCAACAATACAAAAAAAAAGATGAGTTGTTTTGGCAAAATCGATTTATTCTTATATATTTTTTGACATGGGAAGATAATTCAACATATATTAAGATCAAGCTTCGAATGATGGGACCTATAGTTTAATCTGAATTCCTGCTGATTAATTCGATGAAACTTGATGCATTTATTACTAATGTCCATTTCAGAATTAAATGGTCGCGGGTATTCTTTGAATAATTTTTAAACAAAAAGAGAGAAGTAACTCGGATTTTTTTGTACTATCTAGAGTTGACATTGCTCTATCCTTTTACAAAGTTGATGAAAAATTCCGGTCGTCTTTCTCATTAAATACATCATGAGATTTAAAGATACAACGATAATATAATGGGCTGGTAATTTAACTTCTCCTCAATTGATCTATGCAAGGCTGAGATCGATAACTGTTTGTATTCAAAAGATATAAAGATTTTACTGAAGGTTACTCACTAAATTTTTTTCAAAATCTGAGTAGTTAACAAATATTTTCTTCTATAAGTTTTTAGCCTCCTTCGACTTGGTGAGATGATTTATTAACGTTCGATGGCTTTTTTTCTATAAAAAAAAAGTCATCAAAAACCATAAATTGAGTGTAGATATTGGATTTTTCTTCAGCTACTATCACACCCACATCCATTTCCCAATGAGACACTATACCTTGAATCCTATAGAGTTAGTCTGGACCAATATGAAAACATATATATATGATAGAAACATGAAGTTTACTTCAACTGAAGCGAATGAATTGGCACACGAATGGATTTATAATTTACGTGTGACGGAAGCAATCAGTCATGTCAAATAATATGAGAGAACATTTAAAAAGCTGTCATTTATGTTGAAGGGATTAAAGAAGAACTAATTGATGATGATGATTCTAGCACCTACAGTACAGATGATTAATGACTTCTTTCTATGTAAACATCTTAAAATTCTTTTCATTTGATCGATTTGAGTTGAAAGATTTTTGCTATGAAAGTACAAAAAAAAATAAAGGTTGATGAGAACTTCCTGAAGATACTAAATCATTATCATCAGAATAAATCCCATGTATGGTTTTTAATAGAAAAAAGCCTTCAAAAGTTAATAAATCATCTCACCAAGTCGAAGGAGGCTAAAAACTTATAGAAGAAAATATTTGTTAACTACTCAAATTTTGAAAAAAATTTAGTGAGTAACCTTCAGTAAAATCTTTATATCGTTTGAATCCAAACAGTTATCAATCTCAGCATTGCATAGATTAATAGAGGAGAAGTTAAGCTAGCAGCCCATTATGTTATAGTTGCATCTTTAAATCTCATGATGTATTCAAGAAAAAAAAACACCAGAATTTTTCATCAACTTTGTAAAAAGATGGAGCAACGTCAACTCTAGATAGTACAAAAAAATCCGAGTTACTTCTCTCTTTTTGTTTAAAAATTATTCAAAGAATACCCACGACTATTTAACTTTGAAATGGACATTAGTTATCGACATTTTTGAAAATTCTTTTAGTTTTCAGGATAGATTTTTCTATTCATATGAATTCATATTTGGATCAATGATCAACATGTAAGCTAAAGAAATTTTTCAAACTTCCGTTATTACCGTAATATCCTAGTACTTGTGGAATTCTCCAAGGAATTACCAAAATTTTATCCAAAGCTCATGCAAAATCTTTTGCCACGAAACTTCTTTGAAATTTGCTTCTCATATGTTAGTAAATGTCGGAAAATATACAATAGATTGCTGCATTTTGATTATGAATAATTCTGAATGTTATGATGAAAATTTTCAAACTTTCTTCATAATATTCGTTGTTTATGTGAAATATTTCTCAAAATTTAATCATTTAAGAGAAAAATTTACTTTGTCGGAAATCTCAACATTGTTGAAATGAAAAGAAAAAAACATTAGTATTAATACATGTTGACTTTCTCAGGCAATAGAAATTAATTTCTATTAATACAACATTCTAAAGTTAAAAAAAATGCACTCTTTATTATTGTGAATAATTTCTATTTCAAGAGTAAAAAATAATTTGATATGTTTTTTATGAGATAAAATTAATCATGTAAATATTGTTTCATATGTTCTCGATCGTTTCTCCTAGATAATTTTAACAAAGAAAATTGAAAATAATTCAAGAGATATGTATAACATACTTTGTACAACCGTCTCCATAGCGACATTTTTGCTTGCCAGGATTATCACGACTTTTATCATTCGGATGTATAAATTGCTGACGATGACTGGGATCATGACTTAAAAAATCGATAAAGTAGAATATTATTCGTTATATTTTTCAATTAATCAAGGTATTTTTTCATTATATTTAAACTACCAATTGGTTTCTTTGAAAGAAAACTAAGAATTCATTAAATTCGAAAATAGATTTTCTTTTTTACTTGTTTACCATAAGTGAGTTTTGCTGAAAAACTATACGAATTGTTAATTTAACTTATGTCGAAATGAAAAGAAATTCGTTCATATTGATAAAGATAGTATATATTAAAAGAATAAGAAGAACAAATATTTAGTTTGAAAATAACTATCATCTTGTTACAAATCGAAAACAATGTTTAAGTTAAAATCAACTACGATATTTTGTAGAGATTTTGATGAAATATTCTTTCGAAGAACATAATTCGTGATAGAATTGATAATGAAAATATTGATCAGTTCGAATCTTTCTCCGTTCAACTGAATGTTTTCAATATGATTCGAGTTTTGGCGTCAGAACTACGAAATCCTGATCGATAAGTTTTTGTTTTTTTTTGTTCTCAGAAACTCCGATCTGATTTGAAAATCATTAGCCCACTTTTTCTTTCTTCTTTTTATATTTTCAAGATAGGAACTTTGATAGTTCAACATACTTATAACACTGTTCTCTGTGGCGGCAGATTTGCTTGCCATGCTGATCTTGATCAGAATCAGCTGGATGTGAATATTTTTGACGATGATCTGAATCCGTACTTGAATAAGAAAAGAATCAAAACAAAATAATATTTAACTTTTATAAAATTAATTATATTCGATGATTTATTTTTTTATTTCAAAACAATCTATTCAATATATTGTGCAATAAATTACCTGATCATATCTCATTTAAGAGTTTGGAAAAGGTAATCTAAATCATTTACGAGAAAAAAAAATAATAAGTACCTACCGATAACATTTAGCGCCATAGGAACATTGTATTTTTCCAGTACCAGAGGCTCCTGATGCTTGGTAATCTGAGTCGCCCGGATGAGCGAATTCTGCGCGATGATCTGCATCTTTTCTGTAATCAGATAAAATAAGAAATAATCAATGTTTTGTAAAGAAGACTTTTGTACAATACCTCAAGCATGTGGAACCATATCGACACGAACGACGTGCTTCCGCTGATAAAAGAAATAAAAACAAAATTTTGTGTTCGACATCTTATTTTTGGTAGGAATCAATATCTATACTTACGCGATCCTTTGCTCGAAGATGAATCTGATCGATCGATATAATGACCAGGGCGTGCAATTTTAACTAAAAATACAATTTATTCAGCTGACCAAGAACAGAGGCTAAAACTTTAAAAAGTTTTTGGCGGAGGTGGAATCTCTCACTCTTTCTTCCTTGGTTTATCCTCTTCCTCATCAACACTGTGTCTACCAAAGACTATCTAATAAATATCAAAATATGTGTAGTACTGAAAATGATTTTCTAACTTCGTATTTTGTTTTGTCAAATTTAGTAATTAACTTACTTAAACCTTGCCGAACATCATTAGGTACTTTCATATGACATACATCATCAACAGGACAAAAATTTGTATGCAATGATTCAATAATCTTGCCAAATGTTGGATGTGCTTTTAATTGCATAAGAGTAGCTGTAGCACTTGAACGTTCATCAGGATTTTTCTTTAGTAAAAGTTCAATAATCATTTTATAACCACCAATATCCGGAACAATAATATCTTTAGCACGTTGATCATTACAGAAATTATCGTAATCAATTTGATTTTTCCATGGTAGTTCACCACAAAATAATAAATAAAACATCACACCTGCTGCCCATGCATCAGATTTTTTATGAAGATGTCTTGATACCAAATTTTTTGCATTACGTCGTAAAAATTCTGGTGAAACAAAAAATGGAGTAGCCGATCTACTAGCATCGACTGTAACATGAGCACGTTGAGTTATCATTTTTTCTACCGTACCAAAATCGATCAATTTAATACAAAAAGATTGTTCATTTGGAACAATAACAAGATTTTGTGGTTTTATATCACCATGAACAATATTTAGTCTTTCTAGAAATGCTAATGCACGTAGTACATAAACCATAATAATTATACCAATAGCAGCTATTTTTTCAGATTCTCCCTGTTTTACTTGATTCACCCAAAATGTTTCAAGATCACAAGCAGCTAATTCCATTGCTATAAAAATACCTTCTTTCGTTACCTTACTACCATAATATTCGATAATTGGATGATTATCAATTGGAATTTCTTTTGTTAAACGTAAAAAATGAATTTCATTTTTAATTTCTTCTTGTAAACCTGGTGTATTTTGCATGGCTTTAATAGCGACCAGCATATCCTTATTTCTAACTTTTGCTTTGTAAATTTCACCAATATTACCTCGATCAACCAATTGAATAATTTCATATGTAGTACCCTCAATTTCTATTTCTTGTTTTTTATTATTCATCACTGTTTCACTCGACAGTGCCATTGCTAAGAACAACATGACCATTTGTTCAATTCCTACTTCGTCTTGTTGTTTAGTTGCCTCTTCTCGTTCTGCTAGACGTTTTGCCATATTAGCATTTTGTTCCATGAGCGCTTGTTGTTGACGTTCTAAGGCATCAATCTTAGTTTTTGAACTATTGCTTCCCATTGTAGGTAGTAAATTGGTCTACGCAAAAACCGAACACTGAAAACAAAAAAAATGGCAAATAAAATAGGCGTGCACACGTTCGATAAGAACCTCAAGTAAAAGTAAATTTAATCGAAGAAGAAAAAACAATCGTCGAAATTTCTTTTTACATTCGTCTTCTTTGCAACGTAAAATTGCCTTACTCTTTATCAGATACCTACCAACATGTTGGCTGTTTTCTTCTAAAGAGAATTGTTTGTTCTTCATCGGGACAAAATAACTGAATAGAAATGTTTTCATTCATCATAAAAAGAAAGAAAAAGAATTCGGAAGTATCGATCAAGCAACATAAATAAGAGATGCCAGCCAACGTGTATTCGTCTATTGAAGACTGAATTTTGGTTTTTATGATTCTTTTCATAATGTCTTCAAATGTACCGACAGTCTGTCGCGATTCTAATAGCAAAAAATGATGTCATATACATATACATTAATCTATTCATGTCGTTCTACGTCATGGTCGTGAAATTTTAGGATGGATAAGGTTGATAAAATGCAATACATTTCTACCCACACTCTAAAGTAAAACTATTTTCAACAATTTACATACTCTTATGTAAATAAAGTTTACTTAATATGATTTGAGTGTGATTATTAATTTATTTTTTTTATTTTCAAAAAGTAAGTTGCTATACTCGAATAGATGAGTTAAATCTTTGTAAGTAAATATATCGTATTTAACGAAGAGCATTTTCAGACCGATAATGAATTTTTTAACCCTTTGAGGACGGTTGGTCCCTTCAGGGGCCATGCTGATTCTCTAGCATTTCAAAATACACAGATTTCTATATGAGATTAGTTTTTATGACAGCATTTATCAGAGAGTTTTTTGGTATAATTTGGATTGTAATTAGGTTATTTTATTCAGATATCCAGTAATGGATAATAGGTTCTTTTAGAAAATAGAAATGTTGATTGATTTATGATGAAATGTACAGAAAAAAAATCCGTCCCCAAAGAGTTAAAGTAAATTATTGTCTTGTACTTTTCATGAAATATCAGAAAAAGAAAGTATTATTATTAAATATATTCAATTTTTATTTTTCATTGTTGAATAAGATGGGGTGTAGATGTAGTGATGAATAGCCACACCCACACCGCACCCACACCCTGCTCTATCTAGTGATAACCTTATTTTCGCTCCAACTATTGTCGTTTCACAGAAATTTGACATCCTATCAACGTTTCCTGAAAACAGAGAAAAACCTGTTCCACCCCCTTTTGAGCTTGGTGTGAATCTAACAAAGAGTTTAAGTCAACTTTTCTTCCATAAAAAGATTCATCAATCTCACCGCTATCAATTGGTGAAAACCAAAACTTATTAACTTTTTTTGTTGTTGAATAATTTACATTTTAGTGATGTCAATGGGCACATGACATACAATTTGTCCCACTCCCTTTTGTCTATCGTCCAACCAAACTATAAGGAGTTAAGAGCTGACATTTTTATCATAAGTGTCAATTAGGCACCATAACTTGCATTATAAATATCAAGGCTCTAACTTATCGCTGAAGAAAGTTATTAAAGAAATACAGTAAAATGTCCTACCCTCCTACTTTGT